CGAGCCGAGTAGTGACAAGAGTGTTGGGTACCGTGCCGAGCACGCTTCGGTCCGTTGGGTAAAGACCTCTAGACCAAGAACCGTGCTATGAGTTAAGGGCTATTTAAACCCCTTCACAACATGCTCGATCTTCCATGCCTCCGACAGCTCCGAGGCGTTCTGCCTGACTTCATGAGACATCTATCCCGTCCTCCCCTCGAGGTCATCTAGGGAGCTCCTCTCAAGTCTCAATCTTCCCTTTCTCTGGCCCATATAATGCTGATGCTGACGGGACAGCCTACCTGGAAAGAGCATTTAGTCTCTAGCAGGGCCTCGACGACTCATCAAGTGGGTCAGATTTTGGTCTGTCAAATCCTCAACACAGTATCATCACATGCCTTAGTGATCTCCACCAGGTGAGTACTTGGTAACCTCAAGTATTTGTCGTAGCATCCTCTCCTAACGTCGAATTCTATCCTTGGCAGATTTTCAACCATCTGGTGGTATTCTCAGGTCGAGTTGCTGATGAAATTAACTATCTCCGCTGTCATTATGCCCCTCGGGAAGAGCTGGAACAGGCCATTTCTTCCTTCAACCAGGCCAACAGCCTTCTAGAGGGTACCCAACGTGAGTTGGAAACAGAGAAGAGAAAATCCCGAGACAAGCTGGCTAACCTACAGAGGAGACTTGACAAGGCCAACGCTCGACTCTCTAACTCTGAATTCTTGGTCGGAGAATTCAAGAAAACTCAGGAGTACGTCGACTTACAAAACTCTGCCATGGAGTGCGGTGTTTCCTGGCCTCTCCGTCAGGTTTCTACTCAACACCCTGATATTGACTTTTCCTTCCTCCCGGAGCGTTTTAGGGCCGAGCGTGACGCTCCTGATGACATGGATGATGACGACTACGAGTAGTACGGTAGCTTGAGTGAGTCGTTTTACGGTTGACTTTTATGTGCTTTGTCACTACGTTGCTTGTATTTCTTTCCTTTGGAATTATCAATTAACCCTCTTACCAGCCACTTACTGGCTTACGACTCTAACCCTGATGGAGTTTTGTTGCTTCCATTTCCGTAGGCTTTTAACCCGTTGGTCATAGTCAATGGTTTTACACCCGCAATTGCTTTTTGGCCTTTTACTCCATCTCATGTTTTAACCGTGCTAGGTCAATCGACCCGCTTCTGGTTTGGCCGTGTTGAGATTGTTTAATTGTTCTTTCCAAACGTGTCGATTTAAGTAGATTCATGCTTCGTCGCACGTGATCAGCGTCGAGTGGTGGTCGGACTCGAGCCGTGCTCAGTCGAAAATAAGACCTATTGACAAAAATAGGCTATCTCATAAAACTGCCGATTAATGTAGATTTGTGTCCGTTCGCACTTGGTCGATGCCGAATAATGGTCGAACCCGAGCCCTGCTGCTCGACCTGCTCGGCTATAGCTGGTTTTACTGTCGCCGTGTAGAGTTGGATTTACCAAGCTTACGTCGTTGAGTAGCCGTAGTCGGTACCTATTGCCCCCTACTCTCAAGTGTATTGTCGATATCTTTTGAGAGTACACTTGTAGACGAGGCAAAATGTTTTATCAAAGTCGCTTGGTATCTCGTTTTGAATTTAAGAGATATAGTTGACAGAGAACCAAACAAATGGATACTTTATTGAATAAAAGAAATAATAATTAGAAATCTTGCTAAAAGTAGGGAAACAACAACAACCATATTTGAAGGAAGAAAGGAAAGGTCAATAGCCCCCCTTAGTAGAAGTCCTGTCGTTGTCCCTCATTGAGGTATAGTAGCATTCCCGCGACACTCGTTGTTCTCCTTTAATCTCTCCTACCCCACCCAGTGTTGGAAATTTCATGGACTGGTGATATGTGGATGGTATTGCTTTGAGCATATGCATTGTCGGTCTTCCCAATATTGCGTTGTAGAAAGATGTGTAGTTAACGACCAAAAAGTCCACCATCTTGATGACACTCTTTGGCCCACTTCCAAACGTTACAGGCAACTCTATCCTCCCTTTGGGAATGACCCGTTCCCCTCCAAATCCTACCAGTGGCGCTGGGCTGCTCTTAAGCACCTTTTCTCCTTGATCCATAGCTTTATAGGCAGTTCAAGAGAGGATATTCGCCGAGCTGCCCCCATCCACCAAAATTCGATGTACTTTCACATTTGCTATCTTCAAAGCGATAACCAGTGCATCGTTATGAGGGTGGAGGAGGTGAGTCGCCTCGTCCTCTGAAAACTCGATCGTCACCGGCCGGTTTGTAGTATACGCGTGGTAGACCTCATTTTGATCGCGGTTCGCCCTAGCTTCTCGCACATCTGCTTTTATTTTTCTCCCAGATTCTCTTTCTATGGGGCCTCCCATTATAGTTCGAATCTCTCGAGCAGGAGACTTGTCGCTTTCGCCGTTTTGTGCCGCTTTAGGTTCCTCTACATACTCTTTGAGGTAGCCCCTTCGGATTAGTCCTTCCACCTCTTCCTTGAGATCAAAACAATCCTGAGTTGCATGGCCGTGATCCTGGTGGAAAAGGCAATATCGGCCTTTACTTCGCTTAGTTGACGGGGCCTTCATCCTCTCCAGCCACTTGAGCAATCTTTGGTCTCTGATCTCCATCAGCACTTGCTCGAGTGGAACGGTGGTCGGGGTATACTTTTAAAATTTTCGGGGTGGATCTTTCTGGCTACCTCGATCCCTCTTCTCCCATCTCGACCCCTGTGGTTTATCTCCCGACCTCTCCCTCTTTTGGTCGGTTCGCTTTCCGTCTGGCTCCCTTTTTGAGTAACAAAACTCACTAGCGCTCATGTACCTCTGAGCTCGGCTCAGTGCCTCCGAGAAGGTACTCGGTGTTCTCTTTTCAAACGAAAATGACAAATGCTCATCCCTGACGCCGGACATGAAGGCCAGCAGAGATACAGCGTCTGTAAGGCCTTCTAACTGCAGCTTCTCCTCGTTGAATCGAGCTACATAGTCGTGCAGACTCTCTGCCGTCCTCTGTTTAATAGTTAAAAGATAGGCCACCGGTCGGCTTCGACACCGTCCCCCTACAAATTGGGTCATGAATGCTCTGGCCAAGCTCTTGAAACTCGAGATTGACCCTCGTTTTAATTGTCGGAACCATATTCTGGCCGACCCGTTTAACGTAGTCGAGAATACCCGGCACCTGATCGCATCCGACACTCCGTAGATATCCATCCATTCTCGATAAGCATCTAGATGGTCCACTGGCTCGGTCATCCCGTCGAATGGTTTCACCGTGGGTAGCTTGAATTTTGGAGGGACCTTCTCTCTCATAATCTCCTCCGTGAATGGTGAGTCGGCTTGACCCAGTAGCTCTTCAAGGTCGAATCCCTTCTCCTTTTGGTTATGTCGCTTCTCCGAAGACTCTGGCCGATCTATCGGTTTGCCTTTGTTGAGACTTATCGGCTCAGAGTTTCTGTTATCATGGTCGTTCTTGCTCCCGTTTGGTGCCAGGGATTTATGTTGTTTTTTTATCTTTTGGGAGTCGAAAATCCGGGTTCGTCGCCTAGTATTTCCACTTATCCGCAACTT